AAGGAAGGAAGGAAGGAAGGAAGGAAGGAAGGAAGGAAGGAAGGAAGGAAGGAAGGAAGGAAGGAAAAAGTTGTGGTGGGTGTTTTTGTTTTGTTTTTCGGTGCTTTCACAGTTCCATTGTGGAATAATTACCAATCTGAGCCTGGGCCTGTCCTTTTATAGTTGATTGATTACCACAGGGAAATTTGGAAACACTGACTGAAGTGATAGTATCATTGGAGCTTGTTTGGCAAGTGGTTACAGCAGATGAAAAGAAGGAAGCTGGGTAGAGAATACAGTGTTCAATGTTTAAAGTTTCTGGGGATGGAAGGAAGAAACAGTATAATAAGCTTTGAAAAATCCCATTAGAAAATTATCATTTCTTTCCTATCCATTTCTTCTCTCTGTACTCATTAGAACTTAGACCTGCCAGGTGGGTATTGGTGGCACATGCCTTTAATCCCAGCACTCAGGGAGGCAGAGGCCAGCCTGGTCTACAGAGTGAATTCCAGGACACCTAGGGCTATGCAGAGAGACCCTGTCTCAAAAAACAAACAAAGAAACACAGTACTTCAAAGAACACAGAACAAACACTACTTTCTTATTCCAAGTATTGTTTTAATATGTAGATAGCGTGTACAAACTACACACAAAATTTCCAGCTAGCTTAGTGGGTATTCTGATGCCTTTCTAGTTTGTTTTCTTGTTTTTCTAGGTCGTGCGTTTCCTGTTGATCAATTTTTTCTGGAGGATGCAATTGCTGTGACAAGGTAAGGAAGAAAAACTTTATAAACACAGTTACTGTTTATCCTCAGTGTGTCAGGGTGCTAATCTTCCTTTTTAATTATCTTCCATCTTTCATTTAACTTTTCTATTTTTTTTTCCTTTTTCTGTCAGTAAACAGACTCTTTGTATTTAAGTCCTACTTCTTACTGTCTGTCAAGTTGTTTAGTATCTCTGCATCTCAGTTCCATCATGTGTCAAATAGGTCTATTAATATTAACACTTCCCTGGGTTACAAGGACCAGTTGCAGAATTAGAGTAATAGATTAAACTAGAGTAACAAAAAAGCACTTGCTGCAGTTAATGTTGTTTTTATAAAACTGTGTTTGTTTCTCAGCTTCTCTTTTAACCCAACCATCATGCAAATAATTGAGACACTTTTATATTTGTTTAATAATAGCTTCACAACACATATAACTGAGCAGTTATTACTTATTTTTAACCCTCTAAACTAATCTGGTTTCCTCCAGCGTACATCTCAGAGATACTTGCACTCTGTAACTTTTTCTGCTCCAGCTCCTCTCCTGATGTCTCCTGGACTTCTGTGGTTCAATCACCTACCTCCTCTAACTCCTCCTTCCCTGGCTGGCAGGAAGCCAGCCCTATTCTCTCTCCTGCTCAGCAATTGGCTGTAAGCTGCTTTATTGGCATATCAGGAGACAATTGGGGAGCAGTGTTTACACAACATTAAAACAGGAGATTCTCAGAGCAAGGATTGCAACCAGATATGAGGATACAGAAATCAGCGTTTGAATTACACAGTGAGCTTATGCCTACCTGATGCTCTTCTAGAGGATTTGAGTTCAGTTCCCAGCAACTAGGTTGGCTGAAGTGAGAACTAAAAACACGAATTCATCTGGGTGAACAAGGTAGAAGGAAAGAAGAGAACCCCACTTGTGTTCACTATCCCCTAGCCCTTACCTTTCACAGGGCCTCTGGGGAACCTTTAGACCTCCCGGGGAAGTAATTTCCATTTAGGTCAATCGATTCTTTCAAATAATGAGAAAAGAAGGCCTTTGAAATGGAGTCTCAGAAGTTCCATGGCATGGTGACTTAGTGGCAGACCTAGAACTCAAACCTAGAGCTTTTAGTAGCAAATGTAGACCTTTCCCCTTCACCATAAGAATAGCATTATCTCAAACAAATACTTAACTATCTAATAAGAGTCTTAACTATCTAATAAGAGTGTGTTTGAAGATGGTCTTGTAGCAGTGTTCAAAAAGAACTGGTCTATGTTTGGTTGCATGGAGTGGAATGATCTGCTTTAGAATTATAGTTGGAGCCTTTGGGAGATAGATAAGAGTCTCAGAGAAGGAATTAAAGTCAGGGACACTGCAACTGAGAAGAGCTCAAATGTCTTCTGAATGTCTGTGCCATTTTCCTGGATAGGCCTTTTCTCCATAGTCATATATGATTTAGATAAGAACATCGGACAGAACCAATGGCATTCATTGCAGAGTGTTCCCAACCAGAAACAGGGCACAGGCAGCAGAATCCTGGACTGCTAGACGCTAACACATGAGCTACACAGAAGCAGAGCAGCATTCTGCCGGGGACAAACAACATGGGAGAATTAACTTCTTTCTTGTTCAGCAGGAACACACCCACAGAGACACATTACTTTGTCTTCTCCCTCAGGTATGTGTTACAGGATGGGAGCCCCTATATGCGTTCCATGAAAAAGATGGCAAGGGAAAAGCTTAAAGCCAGACACAACAGAACTGCATTCGAAGAAGTGGAGGAAGACCTGAGACTTTCCCTTCATCTCGAGGATGAGGAAGATGCCATCAAAGACATGATACCAGATCAACAGTTAGATTTTAATCAGCTCTCCATACGCTATAAAGGTAATGTGCTTACTCAGGGAGTAGTATGAAGTATGCCAAAAATTTCTTGTTATTTCTTTCCCACCACAACCCAGAAAAAGAAAAATAGGACTTGTTTTATAGTGACATTGCCTTAAATTTGTCAGAACAACTTTAAACTTACAAAAATGGTAGTTCTGGGGCTGTGGAGGTGGCTAAGTGGTTAAAAGCACTGCCTGTTCTTCCAGAGGACCCAGGTTCAACTTTCAGCACCCACATGGCAGCTCACAACTGTCTACAACTCTAGTTCTGGGGGACCGGACTCCCTCACACAGATAAACATGCAAGGTAGAACACCACTGTATATAAAATACAAAAAAAAAAAAAAAAAAGGCAGTTCTAATGCATAGATTACAGCTGTCATCTCCGCCAACTGATTTTTCTTTAGTGTGGTTTGGTTGGTGGTGGTGGTAGTGGTGTTTTCTGATTTTTTTTTTAAGTCTTTGATGGAGAGAAAGGAAAACCAGCTGACCCTGCAGGAGTAACAGGTTAGAGGCTCTGACAAAAGATGAAGAAGGGATAGAAGTCTAGGGAAGAGCGCTTTAAGGACAAAGGCAAAGTGGGAACCTTGCACATCCTATGTGCTCATCTATGATTATGTGCATAGCAGGCCGCACAGCAGCCAGGTGCAGCATGCCACAGGAGGAGGGCATCCCTAACACCACAGTTAAACTTAAAAAGGAGGAATTTTTAAAGGTGTCGCCTCATCTGGCATTTTTATCTTTTGAGACAAAGGTTTTACTATATTGCATAGGCTAGTCTTGAACGCCTGCTTCAGCCTCCCAAGTGGCTGGATCTGTAAGCATCTGCTATTATACCCCGCTGAAATATGTTACTTTAGAAGTATGGTGGGTAAAATCTACCTGACACTTAAGTAGTCTCAAACATCTCTTCATGAGTGACTTAACTACAAAGGGAATTAGTAACAGTTACACAGGGGAGAATCTTAACTTGATGGTCAAGTTAACCACCCATAATGAGGCAAGCAGAGATTGCATACCTCAGTTATTCACTGAAAATTCAGCATTGTTTTGTGGTATTTCAGTCAAAAATGCATGATTTAATTTGATTGTAGTGACATATCAGATACAGCCAAATAGAGCGACCTGCTGCAAAATAATCTTTAAAATGTCAATATTGGACTGGGGAGATGGGCCAGTGAGTAAAATGTTAGTTGCGCCTGCAAGAGAGCCGGAGTTCATATCCCCAGAGCTCCAATGAAAACCAGGCACGTCATTGAGCGCCTATAACCTCAACACGAGGTGGAGATAGGCCACGTCCATCAGATAGGAGGATCCCGAGACTCACTGGCATCGGTCTAGCTGAAACTGGGCTTCAGGTTCAGGAAAGACCCACAGAGCTGAGGAGGCTTTTGCTGAGACTCCAGTGAGCAGGAAGTTCTTTTGGAGGGAGGGCAGGGCGGGAAGGTGGGGAAGAGCAGTGTTTCAAGACAGGGTCTCACTGTGTAGCCCTGGCTATCCTGAAACTCACTATGTAGACAAGGCTGGCCTTAAACCCACAGAAATCCACCTGCCTCTGCCTCTGCCAAGTGTTAGGACCAAAGGTCTGCAGCCCTATGCCCAGCATTGAGGATGTTTTTAATTCACATGCATTCTTCAAGGAAGAGCCACCAATTCTGTCACTGTCTCAAAGGGACCTAAAAGTTTAGCACTGTTGTAAAGATGCTAATGAAACAGCTGTGCCCTGTTCGTGTCTCCCTCTGGTGACTGTTTCCTGAACTTCCAGATGACCTGACTCAGGGTTTGATTGAATCTAAAAGGAGTTTCTAAAATGTGTCTCACTGAATTTTGTTCTAGATCTTAGACATTGAATAAATATGTGATGGTGAAAAGGAGAAAAAGTAGGAGAAACTTAAAATGGGGCAAGCACTTTCTCTTTGGGTCTCCGCTGCAGAAACACAAAGTGTGTTTGGGCTGGGATGTAACTCAGCTAACACTGTGCATGTGCCTGGCAGGGAGCCTTGGTTTGCTCTCCAGCAACACATAAGCCAGGTGTGCTGCCCAGGTGTGCTGCTGTGCACATACATTCCAGCACTTGACATGGAGACAGGATGACCAGCACTTCAAAAAACAATCATGCTCATCTTGAGTACAAGGCTCACCTTGCCAGAGAAAGAGAGTATGTACCTCTGTAAATCAGTGTTTTCTGGGGGACTAAAAGAAAAAGTTCACCAAGTAAGTACTTCAAATGTGAATAGCTCTGCTGTTGAACCAACCTGGACTCACCAACCTCACAGGTGTGACGGTAATCGTTCTGACTTTTACCTTTCTTTCAGGGGTGAGCAGGTCAGTCATCAAGACAATGTCTGTCATGGATTTTGAAAAGGTTAACCTGGATTTAATAGAGGCCTTGCTAGAGTGGATTGTAAAGGGCGAGCACTCCTACCCTCCAGGTAACCGTTGCTTTTCTCTGGCCCCAATGGTGCACATAGTAAACACTCACTCCTTGGCAAACTGCAAGTCTGGTCCTGAGTGTTCAAGCTCCGCGTGCACTGTACACAGGGCCGCAGGGCACTGGGGAAGACCTCACGCTCCAGAGTCTGACTTCCCAGCCTCGCACTGTCCAGGAATCTCATTCCCGTGGATAAATCCTTATCTTTTGTATACTTTAATTTCTCTGTGAAATGAGGACAGTAGTAAATCTTGCATAAAGCTGTTTCGACTATTGCTAGAAACCGTGTGGGGCTGGGGTTCAGCTCAGTGGTGGAACGCCTGGTCAGCGTGTAAAAGCAGGGGTGTGATCCTGCATCATGACATGCAGGAAAAGTTGCCTTTAAAGACATTTAACAATGGAGGCTGGAGGGATGGCCCCGTAGCTAACAGCACTTGTTACTCTTGCAGAGGACCTGACTTCAATTCCAGCAGCCATGTTGGGCAGCTCACAACCTCCTGTAACTCCAGCTCCTTAGGAGATCCAGTGCCTCTGGTCTCCAAAGGCACCTATACTCACATGCACAGGTCCACATATAATTTATATGTGTACATAAGTAAAAATAATTTTTTAAAAAAGTAAGGAAAAATAAAGCTGTGTGTGTAGCTGATCTGGTAGTGTGCTTGCCTTGCATGCAGAAAACCCTGGTTTCAGTCTCTAGTGTCTCATAAATCAAAATGGTAGTACTTGCAGGGAACCCCATCATTTGGAAGGTAGAGAGAGGAAAATCCCACGTTCTAGGTCATGCTTGGCTGATAGTATTTTTCCTTTACTTACTGTCCTCTGACCATGCTAGCCATCGTCACCTCACTTGTAGTTCCTTATCCTCAGTGTAGTCGAGATTCTCTCTTGACTGTATCTTTCACATCATTTGGGTTTCCTCACACCTGTCCCCATTGTAGCCCATGCTGTCTGTGATCTTGTCCTCACTCTTATTCCATCATAACATCCAAAAGAACTAGTATTTGATACTGCCTGAAATTATTTTGCTAACCTACCCATCTTCTTCAGTAGAACATAAACTTTTAAGAGCAGGATTTTGCTGAGCATGGTGCTGCACACCTTTAACCCCAGCACTTGGGAGGCAGAGGCAGGTGGATCTCTTGAGTTTGAGGCCAGCCTGGTCTACAGAGTGAGTTCCAGGACAGGCAGGGATACACAGAGAAACCTTGTCTACAAAAACAAAAAGATCAGGGATTTCTTGTTCACCCTGTATTTCTCATCCCCTAGGAAAGTTCTTGGAACATTTTTGTTTCTTTGGTTGGTTGGTTTTTTTCAAGACAGGGTTTCTCTGTGTATCCCTGGCTGTCCTAGACTCACTTTGTAGACCAGGCTGGCCTCAAACTCAGAGATCCACCTGCCACTGCCTCCTGAGTGTTGGGATTAAAGGTGTGCTCCACCATGACCAGCTAAAAGAAATTTTTGTTGAAAGGTTGGGTGCTGATTGAGTGACGTAACAGATCAATAAAGACTTTATATGCTCATTACACAGTCCTTAAAAATATGGTAATGACTGCTTTCTCGGTGACTTTATCATCATGATGTTTTCTAAGGAGACTTGAAAGCCATGTAAATGATTAAATTCCTTATTTCTCTTCTCTTGGCAAGTGGTCATGTGTTGCTAATGCATTACCAATGGACTGGTGGCCTGGTTTCATTCTAAATAAAAATGTTTATTGAAAACAAACATGCTAGCTGGGTATGATGGTACAAGCCTGTAATCCCAGCATTCTGGGTGGCAGAGGCAGGCGGATCATTGTGAGTTTAAGGCCAGCCTGGTCTAAAAAGCGAATCTAGGACAGCCAAAAAAAACTTTGTCTCACAAAAAAAAAAAGAAGAAAGAAAGAAAGAAAGAAAGAAAGAAAGAAAGAAAGAAAGAAAGAAAGAAAGAAAGAAAGAAAGAAAACATGTCAGCCAAAAAGAAATTTTAGAAATTACCAAAATTTACCAGGCATGGTGGCACATGCTGTTAATCCCACTGGGAAGAAGAGGTGGGCCTCAAAAAATAACAATGAATCAGTGATATATTCGTGAATATGAGAGCCCTACCTGACAGGTGGCCGAGCCATGAGGGAAGACTAAATCCTAAAAAAATAGGTAAAAATATAGACAAGTTCCCATCTGTATACAGGCTGTCTTACCACTCTGAGTCTTGTGTCATTTAGCACAGATGAGCATGGGATGGATCTGCCAGAAACTGAAAGTCTGTGTTGAGGCAGTCAGCTTACCAGCTCCAGCCTAGCCAAGGACTGAGTAGTGTGTCTCCTGCTGACACCCTTCTTACGTAGGGTGGCTGTGAAGGCCAAATGAGGTAATGTGTGTGGGGGAAAAAAAAAAACCTGCAAGATTGCTTTTGTCCCTCCTCTATTTTTGTGATGGTTTCAATTCCTTCCTTGTTTCGTGGAGAGAGTAAGCATGGCTGTGGATAATGAGCTCGGGAGATCTGTTTTACATCCATGCTTCATAGGTGGCATGGCATCCTGCTTACATGTGTGAGACTAAGGGAGACTTTACTGAAGAGGTTATCAGCTTCTTGAGTGAGCGAGGCACAAGAGAAAGCTAGATGTGGAGGCTCCTTCCTGTAACCCCAGTGGGGGAGACAGGAGAGTCAACACAGGCTCAAGGCTAGCCTGAACCATAGGTCTCGAAACCACTGAACTACCAAATGACGCTGTCTTAGAGATCTACAAAAGAGAATAACTATTGGGGAGGGACTGCCGTTAGGACAGAATATGTTAGAGTCTCATATTGTTGCTTATTGTCTTTAATGGACAATTTTAAAGGCCATCAGAGGTTAATAAGACATAGCTAGTTAAAATACTGTCGCTTTCAAATGTATCTGAATTTAGATAACCAGGTCAGACCACCGGTTATAGCTTCTTTTTATCAGATCCAATAAAATATCTGGATCTCATTAACAAAAGAATCTTAAAAGGTTACTCTTCTACAGAGATAACTGTGAAAACAGCCGTGGCCAGGTCCTGAGGAAGTATGTTGAAGAGCTTAGCTGGGTCTGCTGTCTGCACGGTGTTGGTTTCAGTCCTCAGATGTTTTGATGTGTGCCCACATGCACACATACACACGTGCAGATTCATCAGGACACACACACACACATAGCTTGGCTAGTGCTTCTTGTATAACTTAAGGCTTGCTTTTCTATACCTCAGTTTTCTATTGGAAAAGGGTACTCCTCCTCCTCCTCTATTTTTCCTTATTAAATCAGAGTATACACAAAAATGTGATTTCATATTTATTTAAATACTAAGAAAAACTAAGAGAAAAATTATCAGATTATTGATTTTATGACCTATGTTAGTTTTCCTTGTTCATTTATCTTAGTTTCTTCTTCTCTCTCTCTCTTTTATATATATATACCCAGGTGCTATCCTTGTGTTTTTACCTGGGCTAGCAGAAATCAAGATGCTTTATGAACAGCTGCAGTCTAACTCTCTGTTCAACAACAGACGAAGTCATCGGTAAGCCACTTGCTTTTTCTCTGTGGTCTTCCACTGCAGCCATCTATAAAGATGAGGAGCAGACGGGACCCTATGGCCCTTACCCCCTTAGACTGTGGCATCACCTCGCAGACGTGTGTGTTTATGCCAGCTCACATGGGCAGCCGTCTGTGCTCCAGGAAGTGTTACTCTGTTCCATCAAGGACAGACCTTTCTCTTGACTTATCACAGTGACTCAGCAAATATTGCATGCAGCTTCAGTTGCCAGGTTCCTAAGGAGGAGGGGAAGCCGATGAAGGCCAGCATTAATAATAGCAAAGACATGCTGCCATTTTGAGAGAAAACAATTTTTCACCAGTTACTGAGTGTGCAGTCACATACTAGGGCAAGGCTAGCTAACAAACACTAACTAGAAATTTAACAATGAATATTCTAACTTACATCACAATTTGCCCCCCCCCACCCCGGATTTAAGGCAAAAGATGATTCTTTGCTGGTTAGTTTGTTTTAGGCTGGCAACTTATATCAATAATTCATTCCTCTGGGTGGCTTACTGCGGAATTAACCCAGAACTATTCCCAGGTTGGCACAGGGTTTTTGTCTCTGGAAGGCTGTATTTCGTAAGATGAGAAGGAGCCCTCACACTGCGAAGTGCTGGTGACTCCCGAAGTCATTTAATTAACTTCAGATAGTCACCCACTCCGGCTCAGTCTAAATGCTGTGTGCCAGAATCCTCACTGTGGCTTTACTTCCTTTTAGATGTGTTATTCATCCACTTCACTCATCTTTATCCAGTGAAGAGCAGCAGGCAGTGTTTGTGAAACCTCCAGTAGGTGTAACAAAGATTATCATTTCCACCAACATTGCTGAGACATCCATAACCATTGATGATGTCGTTTATGTCATCGATTCTGGGAAGATGAAAGAAAAGAGGTATTCTTTTTTGGTGAAGGAACAGAGGGACTGCATAGGACAGCATAGCTGTTACTGGTTAATGCTGAGGCTCTCTTAAAAGAACACTGTATGAGAGTCCATGGCCAACATCATGAATGCTAAAGCCAAAAATTAATGTTTTGCCTCAGAATTAATGAATTCATTTTCCCATGTGAGTTTTCATATTTGGATGAAAGGAAATGCTTTTTAAAATATGTGCAGTAGTATATGATGGCACTTAAATCAGTACTAGCTATTCCAGTCCAAGCATAAACAGAGCACTGTGGATCTCTAGGAGTAAGGTGGGTGTCTTAAGTAAGACTGCTGGACCTTGCCCAGTACTCTTGATGACATTCTAAAAAGTCACTCAGGAAAAAGTACTGGCAGGAACTACGTTCAATCCCCAGAACCCACACTTAAGAAGGGGATGGGGAGAGCTAAAGAGGGAGGGAAGGAAGGAGAGAAGAAAAGAAAAGGAAAAAGCCACATGGGGTGGCATGCACATGTGTCAGTTCTGGGGAAGGAGAGGCCAGCAGGTGACTGGCGCTCACTGCTCAGCCAGCCTACCCTTCTTGGAGGGCCCCAGGCCAGTAAGAGACCTTGTCTCCGAAAGACAGAGAGACAGACAGGCAGGCAGGCGCAGTGCTTAAAGACCTACAGCCAAGACTATTCTCTGGCTTACAGACACACAAATTCACTTGTGCACAGACACACAAACTAACTCAATCTTGTGCTTCCTTTCCTAGATACGATGCCGGCAAAGGGATGGAAAGTCTAGAAGACACATTTGTGTCTCAAGCCAATGCTCTGCAGAGAAAAGGCCGAGCTGGCCGTGTGGCCTCTGGAGTCTGCTTCCATCTCTTCACAAGTCACCACTACAGCCATCACCTTTTGAAGCAGCAGATACCAGAAGTGCAGAGAGTGCCGCTGGAACAGCTGTGCCTAAGGTCACATCTTGACTTGCATGCTCCGCTTCCAAAAAGTCCAAGTGTTTCTTGTTCTATTTAAGTTTCACGTTCTCTTTTTCCTAGTAGAAGGCACTTTGCTTAGAATAGAGTGCATGAACGCATTTATTGCAAAAAAGCACATCAGTGTGGCCCTTTCCTTTCCTTTCCTTTTAACTTCTGCACATGGAAATTCTCACATTTGCAGAAAGTGGCCCTACGATAAAGCCCAAAAAATATGTTTGTAAGTTAGGAAAGTAACCGCACTTGCCAGGGGACACATAAACATAACAGTATACCAGGGGAAAAATCTACAGCCTTTTCGTCAGGTACAGAAAAGTAAACAAAACTTACAACCACGTTATTAGCTAATGGACAAATGTCATAAAATAGGGTTTTTGTGAGTAGTTGAACAGATTCAATATTACATGACCTAAAGAAGTTTCAATTCAATGTTGTTGTTTTTAATTGCTTGGTGATATATAAGAAATACAAATTATCCATGCTTTTTTACCCAATTTTTTTTAATCTAGTTGTTAACTTAAGGAGGAAAAAAATAACCAAGGGGGTAAGGATTAGTTGTATAAAGCTCGTTATTTTTTTAAGCACTGGGGATTGAACCTAGGGTGTCATGCATGCTAGTCAAGCACTCTACCACTGTGCTATAATGCCAGCCCTATAGCTCTTCCTCCATGTAGCAGGTATTCTAATGGATACAGGAACACTGAGTTCATCCTTACACTTAAAGATGAGGAAGAAGCCAGGCAGGATGGTGCACACCTACAATCCCAGCACTGAGAGTCTCAGGCAGGAGGACCCCGGCCTTGAAGCCAGCCTCATCAGGTGCACAGCAAGAGCTCGTCTCAAAAAACAAAAAGCAGCTGGAGCAGCTGATGCTCTGCTCCAAGACAGTGCTGGTGCAAACAGGGAGCTGAAGGGAGTTGAGAGAACTGTGGAAATTGACTCCTGAAGGATGAGAGAGGGGACGTGTAGTGTAAGAGATTTTATCCAAATATCAAATCGTTACAAGGCGGGGAAATCCTATTTGCCAGCCTACATAGCCTAAAACAGAGTTCATCCTTCCTTTCCTCCTTGAAATGTCAGTACATTCATCACTGTCAGCACATCACTTTTGTGCTCTTGATGACATTCTAAAAAGTCACTCAGGAAAAAGTACTGGCAGGAACGACGTTCAATCCCCAGAACCCACACTTAAGAAGGGGATGGGGAGCGCTAAAGAGGGAGGGAAGGAAGGAGAGAAGAAAAGGAAAAAGCTACATGGGGTGGCATGCACGTGTGTCAGTTCTGGGGAACTACCTCAAGTGAAAAAAGCTAAGTAACAAATACATGTCCAGTAATGAAAAGCAACTGTTATCTGTGTTGATAACTTCAGAAGAAATTATAAGGTCAGGTGTTGGTGGCAAATGCCTTTAATCCCTGACACATAATACATGCTTTATAACGTGTTAGCTATTTCATCATCCTACTCGCAGGAAGTTTGTATTGTAGGCTGAATGTTAGGGTGTCTATTTAGGAGACTGGAAAGAGGGTTCAGTGGTTAAGAGCACTGGCTTCTCTCCTAGAGAACATAGGTTCAAGTCCCAGCACCTACATAATGGCTCACAACTATCTATAGCTCCATTCTCAGGGGCTCTGACACCTCTGGCCTCCCCAGGCACCAGCACACACACACACACACACACATTCCCACATGCAGGTACACACTTAACAACAAATTAAAAATAAATCTTAAAAAGTATTATTTTTAAGAACCAGGCAGTGGTATGGTGGCACACACCTTTAACCCCAGCACTTGGGAGACAGAGATAGGTGGATCTCTGAGTTCAAGGCCAGCCTGGTCTACAGAGTGAGTTTCCAGCAACTCCAGGGCTAAGAAATCCTATCTCAAAAAAACAAAAACAGGAGCTGGAGAGATGGCTCAGAAGTTAAGAACATTGGCTGTTCTTCTAAAGGTTCTGAGTTCAATTCCCAGCAACTACATGGTGGCTTATAATCATCTGTAGTGAGATCTGGTGTCTCTTCTGGTATGCAGGAGCACATGCAGGCAGAATGCTATATTAATAATAAATTTAAAAAACAAACAAATAAAGTAGGACTGATGGTAGTCCTGTGTTCAGTTTCTTTGAGGAGCCTCCTGTGGCAGCTGAGCCAGGTCATATGCCCACCAGCAGTGTCTAAGATTTCCACATCGTACCAACACTTCTTTCACCATTTGAATTTCTCCTTCATAACCTGAACGCACTGTTAAGAGAAAAAGTTTGAAAGTTTATAAAAAGAATTATTTTAGCATGGGTAGGTTCAGAACTTGAAGTGTTTCTGAGTTTATTGCTAAGAAAACTAGAGGACAAGAGATTTTGAAGTGTTTTATTTAAACCAGCACTGCAGCTAGGTGTGGGCCCTGCCTCTCTTCCTAGAGCTGGGGAGGCTGCCTCTGCTTGTCTCAAAACCAAGAAGTACTGTGCGCCTTTAGAAAGCACGGGTGTTGGAGAGTTAACTAGCTTAGTGATTGAGAGCCCTGGCTGTCTTCCAGAAGGCCTGAGGTCAGTTCCCAGCCCCACAGCACACAGCTCCCATTAGTAATTATAATTCCAGCAGATCCTGTCAGTGTCTGCACATACCTACATGCAGACATTCCTACCCATAATTAGAAATTATTAAAATCAATCTTTAAAAAAAAAAAAAAAAAAGCATTTCTTACTTACAAAACAAAAGTTGGGGCTGGAGAGATGGCTCAGAAGAGCACTGGCTGCTCTTCCAAAGGTCCTGAGTTCACTTCCTAGCAACATGGTGGCTCAGAGCCATCCATGAGATCTGGTGACCTCTTCTGCGTGCAGGGGTACATGAAACCTGATAAACGTGTCCTTCAGATCAATTCCTCATTCAGGTGTCTCCCTGGGATAAAAAAGAAGAGGCTAATCAGAAAAAGCTGGAATTTGCATTTGTAAATATTGTACACAGAATAATAAATAAATCTTTAAAAAAAAAAAAAAGAAAGGAAGGAACAAAAGTTATTCCTCAGCTTCATTCTACAAGATAGCAAATTACAAATTAGGATTTTCTTTTCTTTTTCAGAATTAAAATTTTAGAAATGTTTAGCACGCATAACCTCCAGTCTGTGTTCTCTCGGTTCATTGAGCCTCCACATATCAATTCTCTCCATGCCTCAAAAGTCCGCTTGCGAGACTTGGGAGCCTTAACTCTGGATGAAAAACTGACCCCTCTGGGCTATCATTTGGCTTCCCTGCCGGTGGACGTGAGGATCGGCAAACTGATGCTGTTTGGCTCCATCTTCCGCTGTCTGGACCCTGCTCTCACCATCGCTGCCTGCTTGGCCTTCAAGTCCCCTTTTGTAAGTGAATGTTTGTCTAAATTGGAGTTTATGTCACGGGTCTCAAAGGAATCTTTAGACTTCAGATGTATGTGAGCCTCCTAAAAATTTGTTCCTATGTGGGATGTGAAAATTTTCAGAACAGTGGTATTTGATCCTTAGAAGATCTGTATTCCCAGCCCCTCCAAAAACAAAACAAAACAAAAAACCTTAGAAATTAGAGGTATAGCTTATTAAAATAATGTACTTTTTGTTTGCTGTTGCTTATTATAGAAAAATCAAAAAATAAGTAAACCAGCAAGATACACTATATAATTTCAAAAGGTAATGAATAAATTTATTAACTTTAAAACGCTATTGAAAGATAATTTGCACACCCACTTAAAAGTATTTAAGTCAGTATTTTAGTCATTTGGGAGTTAAAGTACAGTATATGCTAGCATGTGTGAAGCCGCATACTCATTCTCCACCACCAGTGCAGGGGGGAACACTTGTATTCCACTATGAAGCGTTTTCAAGGCCAGCCTGAGCTACAGAATAGAATCCCTGTCTCAGAAATAGAAAAGAAAAAAATAAGCTGGGTGTGATGGTGCATATTCTGGAGGCAGAGGCAGAATGATCGCCACAAACTTAAAGCCAAAGCTTGGTGTCCATAGCAAATTCCAGGCCAGTCAGAGCTTCACAGTGAGACTGACTTTAAAAACAACAAAACAGGGCTGGAGAGATGGCTCAGCAGTTAAAAGCACTGGCTGCTCTTCCAGTGGACCCTGGTTCAATTTTCAGCACCCACATGGCAGCTCACAGCTGTCTCTAACTCCAGTTCCAGGGAATCTGACACCCCTCATAAACACATGCAGGCAAAACACCAATGCACATAAAATAAAATTAAATTTAAAAAAATGAAGAAAGAGAGAGCCACACAACAATGCTAAAAATATAAAATGAGTAGGTCCTTGCTGATGGTCTTTTCCATTTGGTCCTAAAGGACCAGAAAAGATTATCTTGTGCTCATTTTGAACTCAAAAAACAAAAGGCCATTCATTAGCTTCCCTATCGTGCTTGCCTTGGGTGAGCCCACACATGGAACATGAGCTCAGTACTGTGTCCCATGCAAGGTGCTTTCTCCAGGCAGTGGTTTCAGCAGTAGGAAAGTGCCATTTGAAACCTCAGATAAACGTGTCCTTCAAATCCATTCCTCATTCAGGTGTCTCCCTGGGATAAAAAAGAAGAGGCTAATCAGAAAAAGCTGGAATTTGCATTTGCAAACAGTGATTATCTGGCCCTTCTGTGTGCATATAAGGTAAGGTGACCTCAGAGCTTAGGTTTGGAGCCACGGTGGGCACGAACATCAGAGTAAGTTCAGCTTGGTTTTCTCTACAATTTAGGGTTGGCAGCTGTGTACAAAAGAAAGTGCAAGGGCGGGTTATAATTACTGCAGACAGAATTTCCTGTCCGGGAGAACGCTGCAGGTGAGTTCTTGTGTGCTATTTATTCATTTATGTCCACTGTAGTAGCTCGCAGTTTCCCAGAGAGGTTGCAGCGTCACCTCACTTGTCCAGTCTGGACAATGGGAATGTTATTTCTGAGCATGGCTGGTTTCCTCAGTTGTGCAGAATGGATTCCTGAACTGCATGACATGAGGCTCTTGGTGATGAAACTCTCACTGACCTGGTTTTCCACATTGCTGCACGTGTGCTTCCTCAGTGTGGGAGACGGAGTAGGCTGTCAGCACGGTGAGGGGGGCTGCTTATGGCCAGCCCTCTTTCTCAGTGATTGTAACAGGCATGCACCTGGATCCACAACCCTGAATCGTGTGCCAACCTATAGTTCTCACCACACTCAGTGGGGTCTGTGTAACCCCCTAACTCTTGGGCAAAGCCCAAGTACTAATGTTGAGTCTGATTTTCTTGGTTAATTTGTTCCTACGTCCACCTTCAGAACATGCTGTCTGTGAGTGGTGAACATAGAAGAGAAAGAAACGTTTGTTGTCTTTTGCATAACCACAGATAGAATTTCTATCTTCCCCTGTGGCGCTATCTTAGGCCTCCTTCCACAGTGTCTGGAAAGCCCAGGTAGTGATGGACCAGATCTCCACAAAGCTTTCATTTTGCTAACGACTGAGGCTGGAGAAGGAGGAAATGAAACATGAAATCAGTGTTCTTAGTACTCTCTGCCACTTGACATCTATTTCTTTCCCTTCTGGAAAGTTCTGAATAGTTGTAGCGGAGTAGAGACACATTCTTTGTTTTGTCCAGACTGGCAATGTGAATGTTTCCAGCATGCTAAGCAAACAAACCTCTACCTTCCGCATCTGGCCCCACCTTTTTACTCCCTCTGTAGACCAGGCTGTCCCAGAACTCGCAGAGATCCACCTGCCTCTGCCTCCTGAGCACTGGGATTAGAGACCTGCGCCACCACTGCCACCACCTCAGTGGCCTGTCCCCTGTCACCACCACCCCCCACCCCCACCACTTTTAAAGTGATGGGCTCTTCCTGTGTTGCCAAAGCTATCCTCAAACACCTGTCCTCAAACAGCCCTCTTGTGGCTCTCTGCCTCCCAAACATGAGCCACTGAATCTGATTCTTGCAGCCCATATTTGAACAAAAGCCACAGTACGAAGACATTTGCACCTTTTATTGTCTAAATCTAAATCTAAATCTAAATCTAAATCTAAATCTAAATCTAAATCTAAATACTTCATGATGTCCTCATAGTCCCAGCCTCAGCTGTGATCCAGTAAGACCACAAGTAGAAAAAGAGTTAAAGTTCTGCAGGTGAGACAGAAATATTAGCCATTCCAGGCCCAGGTAAGGAACTGACAGGACTTGGATAGAAATGCAGACAGAAAGATTAAAGAAGGAAGCAATGGGTTAGAGAGATGGCTCTGAGGTTAAGAGCACTGGCTGCGCTTCCAAAGATCCTGAGTTCAATTCCCAGCAACCACATAGTAGCTGACAACCATCTATAATGAGATCCAGTTCCCCCTTCTGGAGCATAGCTGTTCATGCAAGCAAGAATACTGTATACATAATAACTAAATCTTAAAATAAATAAATAAGGCAACAAGCTGGCATCAAATTTAATTTCTGAACTCAGGAGGCAGAGGCAGGCAGGTCTCTGTGAGTTAGAGGACAGCCTGGTCTACAGAGTGAGTTCCAGGACAGCCATGGCTACACAGAGAAACCCTGTCTCAAATAAACAAACAAACAAACATTGCCACAAGCAAAATTAATTACATTCTTTTTGCCCATCCCCAAAATTTTCAAGAAAATCAGAGCTACCGCACTCCACTTAAAATGTTTAAAATGTAAAATGATCATCAAGGTTTTTGAAGGCTTTGGATTTCCATTTCCATGTAACTGTCTCTTCCTGCCAGTTTGTAATAAGACCACTGTTTAAAAATGTTAATCACTGATGTTACACATTTGTGAGCTATTCACCTTTGATGATATGTTAGCTCCTTTTAAAGGAAGGTTTTAAAGGTTTGTCCCTTCTTTTAGGAAATGGCCAGCCTCAAACGGCAATTCACTGAACTGTTGTCCGACATAGGGTTTGTAAAAGAGGGACTCAGAGCAAGGGAAATTGAAAAAAGAGCCCAAGGAGGAGATGGTGTCCTGGAGGCCACAGGAGAAGAGGTAAAGAACGTGCACTTCTGTCTTGTTTCACTTTAATTCCTGTGGCGTGTGACGGAAATAGGGGCTGTGGCACTGTGACCACACTTCAGCCTGTGAGCAGGGGTCAGCGGCACTCTTAATTTTTCCCTGTCCACCAATGTGTCAGCTAACATGAGATCGGGACTTTTTCTGTTCATTGGCAACATTGCTTTGTCTTTAAATCTCACACTTGTTGATAATTCTATAATTCACAGTAGGCTCTAGTAATGTTTTCTCAAAGCAAGCCAGCTTTTGCCAACCAACTTCTTAGGTGTAATACAGAAAGAATACTTCTACTTCCGTTCCTTTGTCTTGTAGCAATTAGTATTTGCCAGAGAGTCTGACTGTCTTGCAAACCAAGCTCTTTGTCTTCCATGATGCTTATCAGCCCCACCTGTATTTGTTTAAACCTGTACACCAAGAGTTCACCGTGATCTCCCTGGGAGCATCATGCCTTGGCGCCAGTTTTACCTCAGCTCTAGGGACCTTTAGCCACCTCACAGTCAAGAACACTGGCCTCGTAACTGCCTAGCATGAATCTAGAAGGAATCAATCACCATGAGCTGTTTGAGATATTCCCTGTGTGACTATGGTTTGGAAGATTTAGTTTCTTCTTAGGAAGAATTTGTTTTATAATAAATAGGAAATCAGACAATTTGTTGGTCGCTTGGTTTTAAAATAGACACTAAATGAAATACAATGGCTGGGGATGGTGGTGCACGCCTTTAATCCCAGCACTTGGGAGACAGAAGCAAATGGATCCCTGTGAGCTTGAGGGCAGCCTGGTCTACAGAGTGAGATTCAGGCCAGCCAGGACCACATAGTGAAACCCTGTCTCAGAAGAAAAGAGAAATTTGATGGCAAACAGGTGACCTACTGAAACACCTCATATGACTAATGCTGTGTTTCTCTCATAGGCAAACTCAAATGCTGAGAACCCCAAGCTGATATCAGCAGTGCTGTGCGCCGCTCTGTATCCAAATGTAGTGCAGGTAGCTACACTTGCTCCAAATCCTCCAATTTCTTGTTTTGTAGTGACCACAGGATAAACTTAAAATATGCTCATTCGTCATCTTAAAGACATACACACAGCTCACAAGGCTTCCCAATTCATTCATTCTCCCAGTCTGTATAAGGACACATATTTTGTATGAAATGAGGATGTAAACCTTCAGTGCACCACAAAAAGAGTGCCTAAGTTTAGTAGTACAAAGAAATGCAGATTTACACAAGGAAATGGGCTTGCTTACTTTTAAATTGCCAACAACAACAAACATTTAATAATTAATGCTGATGCTGTGTGAGTCCTTAAATAACCATTCTGGGTGAGAGTAAAATTTACATATCCATCCTAACCATGCTCCATTGCTAGAACTATTACAGAAAATTCGCAAATAGGCACAAAGTTAGAGCCAGGAGGGTATTCATTCAGCAGAGTATCTAAATCCGCAGACGTGGTGGTATACACGTGCACATGAGGGGTGGAGGCCAGAGAGCCGGAGGCTGAAAGGCAGCATCAGCTACACCGTTCAAGGCCAAGGAGCTGCTTAAGACCACATTAAAAATGGACCTTAACGGTGAAAGTATAGATACTTAACTGACGTAGTATACAACTCTTGATAACACTGCTTTAGGAAAATCTTCAACAAATATAAAAACGTGTTCAATACACAAAACGAAAAAGCAAGCGGTACAACGATCCTGTGACAGAGACGGCTCAGCGGGTAAAGGTGCCGGCCTTGAAGCCTGCTACCCTGATCCCCAGGACCCACATGGTGGGAAGAGAGAACCAGTCATGCAGCTGTTCTCTGACCTCCACGTGGTATGCATGCCTACGCGCGTGTGCGTGTACGTGCGTGTGTATGTGGGCGCGTGTGTGCACGTGTGTGTGTGTGTGTGTGTGTGTGTGCATGTGTGTGCGTGTACCGGGTAGATGGGATGGGAGGACCCCAGGTCTGAAGCCAACCAGGCTACAGAGTAAATTCAAGGCTAATCAGGGCTGTACAGTGAGACCTGACTTGAGAAAATGAAACATAAAAAGAAACAAAAGCTTTCCAACAATCCTCATTTGTGCCAAAGGACAAGTCCTACAATGAAAATATATGGAGTTTTTTGTTTTGTTTATAAATACTTGTTGTATAGGTCAAGATCCCAGAAGGGAAGTTCCAGAAGACCAGTTCTGGAGTTGTCAGACTGCAGCCAAAGTCAGCTGAACTGAAGTTCGTTACCAAGAATGACGGATATGTCCACATTCACCCTTCCTCAGTGAACTATCAGGTCAGCCTGGCAGCGTTCAGTGCGTCACCCACTGTACAGCCTCAGATGGGAAACGCAGTCCCCAAAGCAGACAGGCCTTCCTCTGTGCTTGCAGCGTCCCTGGCAGTACCACCAATTTAGAGAAGTTTGAATCTGTATAGACAGACTGGCAAGCTAGAAAGGCTTTCCATTTTGAGGAAATTCTACTGTAGGCAAAAGTGCTCATTCCTGCTCTCAAGTGAAAGCCGTTTCTTTGACTTGGTTTAAGGAGTCCCGAGCTAATTACATCGTAAGCATGTTTTTTCCAGCCTTTAGTTCTATGCTTCCTTCAGCCTGGCGCTGTGAGACTGCTGTGTCTTCAGACCATCGGCTGACTCCTCCGTGGTCACAGGAGACTCCTACTTGTCAAATCTGAAGGGTCATCACCTGGCCATCAGCACACTTGCTTCTTGGCTTTTGACACTGCTCTTCTCGAAGCAATGTTTGCTGCTGAAGTAACCCCTCCTGTCCCTCATCTCCTGTCTCCATCACCAGGTCCCCTTTTCTGCCCTGAGGCAGTGGCCTGCCTTCCTCCTACTTCTCTCACTATAGTGTCTGTATACCCCTTGACCCTCTGAGGGCACACCATCATGCTTTCTGCTACCCACTGCTTTCCTGCTGGAGAACAGCAGCTAACATCCAGCCGCCGCAGATCAAACTCATCATCTTCCTGTGCAGCATTCTCTTGCTGTGTGTCTGTCCTGGTAAACGGCATTGTCTGAATTAGAGCCTGATGTCATGAAGACTTCTGCTTTTCTCCATATTGATTCAATTGGTCACCAAGTTCAGGCTCTTTTTGCCTCTTCTCATGCACACTGCCGCCTCCTCAGTTCAGACCCCAAACATTGTCTCATGCCCAAAGTACTGTAATAATAGAATGTTCTAGAATTCTCTCCAGCCTCTGCATTACTATTGTGAATATCTTAATTCTTCTCTTAAATCTTCATATATGGAGTCTACCATAGATTCTCACTTGTCCCTCCACATCTAGCCCCTGGCCCTCGAAGTCCACTTCCTCTGTCACTCAGTATGCTGCAGCAGTGCATGCAATGCTACAGTGTTCCCCATACCGTGACATGCTGCTTCTGTTCCCAGAATGCTAGTCTCCTTCTCTAGGAAGCCTGTGCTTACCCTCTCAGAATCATTTGCTGGCTGGTGGTAGTGTGCTAGCCTGGTATGGCAAGGCCCTGTGTTCAGTCCTCAGCACTTCTAAAACAAACAGAATTTCCTTCGTGACGCTTTCCTCTAACTTCCTCTACTTCCACTGTTCTTCTGCCATTGGGTATGCCTGTGCCCTCTGTGCTTACCCCATTACTCTGTCCTGGAACTGTAAAATGCCTGAAGACAGGAATCTGAAACCTTTTTACATTTCCAGAGCCTAGCGTTATGCATGAAAGTAGATGTAGATGCTTCATGAAGCTTTCAGGAGAGATGAAGGAGAAAAGGTACACTAGGGAGGCAGAGGCAGGCCTGGTCCGTAGAGTGAGTTCCCGGACAGACAGAGCTGCATAGTGAGACCCTATCTCAAAACAAAGCAAAAGAATAGAGTGGGAATGAGGTTAAAAGGTCACCGCTGGTCAGCCCATGATGTATGGAAGAGAATGGTGGTAAACCATGAGAAGGCTCTCTCTCCTCAAGCTTTGAGGAGCCTGAGGACCAGGAGGTTACCACTCATGTGACTGTATTTCATTTTAGAGAGCACAGGCTTGAGTTAGCCCCACTCCTCTTCTCAGTTAGCCACATGGGAGACAAAGTCATTCATGCAATCGTGCAGTACCTGCATTCCGAGCTCTGTGTTGGGCACTGTTGTCAGCCATGACCATTGTAGGCCATGAAGGACAGTGTGTGTGAACAGGGTCCCTCCACTCCAGCAGTTTGTCTCAGCTGGGCACACAGGCAGAAAATAAGCCAGTACCTGTCAGCGGCAAATGCCCCAGAGAAAAAGATAAAGCAGGCAGCAAGACTGAGAGAGGGGCAATTTGGGAAGAATTCTGTGGGTCAGAAACAATCAGGTTCTAAATGAAAAGCAAGCCATACAGACCTCTAAGGAGAGAACATTCCAGCACAGGAAATAAACACCAAGAAATGAGGTAAGAGTATTTGGAATGTTCCAGAATGTGCAGGAAGGCAAAAGATCATACAGTTGAGTGGGATGTCTGATCAAGGTGAGAGTAATGGGTTATCAGTGACAAATGGGCCAGGGTTGGGTCATGTCAAACCTTATCTGCCATGGTAGGGAATTTAGATTTTTAACCTTTGGGGAACCATTGGAGTGGGGGTTTTTGGCCATAATTGAAAGATCACTGTGGCTGCTGTGAAAAGAGGCTGTAAAGATGTGGAAGTGGCAGCGGCGTGAGCACAGAGGAAGCCCTGTGATGGTCCTGGTGAAAGGCTGACGGTTTGTAGTGAGGTGGTAGCTAGAAGGGTCATGAGAATAATATGTCAGCTCCTATGTATTTTAAACGTAAAGCTGTCAGGACTTGATGATCCAGGTGGAATGGGAGAGAAAAGAGCAATCAAGGTCTTACACACAGGGGCTTGAATAACTGAGCAAGAGGGGCTGCCATTTTCTGAAATAAGGAGCTGTAGAGAGAATCAAGAATTTTTTTAGGTATTAGCTTGAAGAAGACCCAGGTTCAATTCCCAACACCCACATGATAGTTCACACTGTCCATAGCTCCAATTCCAAGGGATCCCGTGCCCTCTTCTGACCTCCATAGACACATATACATACAGGCAAAACACACATAAAATTAATAAATCTAAAACTCTTTGAAAAAATTGTATCTTGTGTATATGTATCATAACATCACAAAAGGTCCATAAGCATATACAGTTTTACTTCAGTGTAGATGGCTCAGCAGATAAAGGTGTTTGACAGTTGTACCCTGTCCACTAGAGGAGAACTATATCCTCCAGGTTGTCCTCTGACCTACATGTGTGTAATGTGTACATGCATATGTGTGTGTCCACACACAGAAGTAAAGTTTAAAAAAGCATTTTGAAAACTTCTTTTGGACACCTCCAAAAGAGTTGTTGCTGTTGTTGATTTGTTTACGGGGTGCCAGGGATTGAACTCACCCTTGTGCGTGCTGGGCAAATGTTCTGTCACTGAGCCCTAACAACAAGGTGTTTGCAAAGTGTTAGGTGCTTATTAAGTGTCTAAACGGGTACTAGGAAGTCACACATAAAAACATGGAGCTTAGAGTAAAGGCCCTTAATGGACAGGCAGCTTTGAAATCCACAAGACTGGTAAAAATTCCTTATGTTGTCATTGTCAGCATTGTCATCTGAGGCTCTGTGTTACAGGTCAGACACTTTGACAGTCCCTACCTGCTGTACCATGAGAAAATCAAAACTAGTCGGGTGTTTATCCGGGACTGCAGCATGGTGTCTGTGTACCCCCTGGTCCTGTTTGGGGGAGGCCAAGTGAATGTGCAGCTTCAGAGGGGCGCGTTCGTTGTCTCCTTGGATGATGGTTGGATCCGGTTTGTAGCCGCTTCCCATCAGGTAACAGACGGCTGATGTGTTCAAAGGCTCAGATCACAAAGCTCTGGTAATGTGAAATGAATAGCATTCTTTCAAGACCAAGAACAGCTCAACTAATGAGCAGGAAGAGTGAAACCATGAAGTGGAGAAGGACCCTAGTAATAGTGCCAGGAAGCAGCTGGGGCGGGGATGGGTTAGAGCTGATACAAAGATTTAAGTCCATAGGCTCAAGTGTTTGGGAGGCTGAGGCAAGATGATTACTGGGAGCTTGAGGACAACCAGAGCTACCTAGCAAAGCCTGGCTTCAAAAACAAAAACTGCAGAATCTATAAAGAAGGGATGTTGGAACCTCCTTAATGATACCAGCAATGGACAATTAAAAAAGCAAAAATAAATTGATAAAAATCACCCTGATCTTACCATTACCATGAAAGAAAAGAAGTGGTCAGGCTATAGCTCATTGGTTGGCCCTGGGTTTAATCTTCAAAACCACAAAAATAAAGCAATAAATAATAAATTAATTCAATCAAAATGAAAGGAACTACATATACCATCCCAGCCACCTGGAAACTAAGGCAAGCGGATCACTCAAGCCAGGCACTCAAGACTAGCAATGGACAACATAGTAAGACCGTATCTTTAAAAAAATAAAAATGAACAAAACTAAGAATATACCTCAGTGGTAGAGCATGCAGCATATGTAAGGCTTTAGATACAATGCCCAGTACTTTAAAAAAGGATGAAATTAATCTCAATATATCTTATTTAACCTAATATACCCAGCATGTATTAGTTTCAAAATGTCATCAAAATAAAAAGTTAGTTAATATTCTCTTTCCATATTAAGTTTTTAAAGACAGGTGTGCATCTATACTCCCAGCACATCTCAGTTTGAACCAGGCACAGTTCATGTGTCAATACATAGCCACATATGGCCAGTGGCTGTCAATACCAAGGAGCCAGACAAGGCTGGTTTGGGGCAGCAGCTCAGTGCTGGTAAAGGCCCATCTCCCCACGTGAGCAAGATAACTGCAACAGACCCTGGCCTCACAACTGCACAGCACCACAGCTTCCCTCCAAAGGTGTGCTGCTGGCATCTGCCTACAATGCCAGTGCTTGCAGGCCACGGTGCGAGGTTCATTTTGAGTGCATAATGAGAGCCTACCTTAAAAACAAACAAAAGAGCTGAGCGTGGTGGCGCATGCCTTAGTCCCAGCACTCAGGGAGGCAGAGGCAGTCAGATCACCATGAGTTCAAGGCCAGCCTAGTCTGTAAATTGAGTCCAGGACAGCCACAGCTACACAGAGAAACCGTCTTGGAAAAAAAAAAAAAAAAATCAACAACAAAAACCTTTGCTTCAGGGTAACACCTATAATCCCAGAATAAGAGGTATCAGGAGTTCTTGCCTAACCTCGGCTATAAAGCAATTAATGAGGCCAGCCTGAGCTATATAAGAACTTGTCTCGAAAGCAAAACAAAACAAAAACAAAAAACAGGTGAGGTGGCTGAGCAGATAAGGGTGCTCGCTGCCAACCTAAAAAATGGAGTTCAGTCTCAGAACCCATTTGGTAGGAAGAGAAAACTGACTTCCTCAGGTTACCCTGCCCTCATACTTATGCTGTGGTCCAAATGCACACACAAACACACCAAATAAAAAATTGAAAACGTGTGTGTGGTGGCGCACGCCTTTAATCCCAGCGCTAGGAAGGCAGAGGCAGGCAGATCTCTGTGAGTTCAAGGCCAGCCTGCTCTACAGAGCAAGTTCTAAGACAGAGAAAAACTGTCAAAACAATAAATCCAAACATGGTTTTTAAAAAGCTCCCACTGGGGCTGGAGTGATAGCTCAGTAGTTAAGAGCACTCCTCTCTTTCAGAGGACTGGAGTTCAGTTCCCAGCACCTCCATGGCAGCTCACACCTGTCTGCAGACAACTCCAATTCCAGGGATCCAACACCTTCACATAGACATGCATGCAGGCAAAACACCAATACATATAAATAAAAAATAAAGAAAAATTATTTCATAAATAATGAAGAAAATAAATAAATAAAAGTTTCCACTGAACGTAGAGCTTGCCTGGAATCCTGGGATCAGAGCCTTCAGGAGGATGAGTTGGGGAGATTCTGTGAGTTCGAAGGCAGTCTGGGCTACAGCGTGAGATTGTCTCAAGAACCCAGCAGGGCTGGAGAGGTGACACGGCAGTACAGCACACTCTGTGTGCGCATGAGGACCTGAATCCAGATCCCCGGACACACAGAGACACACAAAGTCAGCAGGCTCTGCCATGGAAAATCCCACACTTCCTAAAGTGAGGAGATCTGGCCACACTCACAGGCTGGGGCGAGAGGAAAAGAGTTCCGGGCCAGCCTGACTACACAGCAAGAGCTTATCTCTAAGTAAAAGCAAACAGATGTGTTTGTCACAGGCCTCGTTAGCACGGTACAGAATGAGAATATGTTCTAAGATAATGTCAGAAGTCTTAAGTCATGCCACACATAATTAGGTATTTCTCTAGGAAAGCCCGTCTCCCCTTTGCTTGCAGCACAACTAATTCTGCAGCTTCCACCGTAGGTGGCTGAACTGGTAAAGGAACTCCGCTGTGAGCTTGACCAGCTCCTCCAGGACAAGATTAAAAACCCGAGCATGGACCTGTGGACCTGTCCTAGAGGGTCTCGGATCATTGGCATGATTGTGAAGCTCGTCACCACGCAGTAGAGGCTGGGCCCGGGCTGCCTGCTGGTCCCCTCTCGTCCCCTGCCAGTCCCAGCAGCACTCCTACCTCCTGACTGAAGACCGCCTGGAGGGCCAGGCCGCCGACCCCGAGTGCTGAGCCAGCCGAGGCCCCACCACCCAAGAGACACTCTCCATGCTTGGCGTTTCTGAAAACACGGGGACACTCCCGGCACAATTTGGAGTATCAGTGGTAGGACAGTCTAAAACCCAGTTTGTCTCTTCGTGATGTACCAAACTGAATGAAGTTCACCTCATAACTCAAAAGTGAATGTTAATGTGATTCTGTCTTAATCTATGTATTCTTTTTCTCCTACTTTTTATTATGCATTGTCTATACATAATTGATAACTCTTTTCTCCTGTTTTTTTTACTGGGCATGAGGAGAAATGTTTGATTTGGTTCTTTTTCCCTCATAATAAAGGCTTAACTGAGAATACTCAAATGAAAGAAAGAAAGAAATCATGTGAGTAAAAAAAATAAAATAAAAGTTTCATTTTAAACTTGGCTGTAGAAATTTTTTTTTTTTTTTTTTTAGGCTTTTGTTTTGTTTTGTTTCGAGACAGGGTTTCTCTGTGTAGCCTTGGCTGTCCTGAACTTGCTTTATAGACCAGGCTGGCCTCAAACTTACAGCGATCAGCCTGCCTCTGCCTTCCAGAGTGCTGAGATTACAGGCGTGCACCACCACGACCGGCTAGGATTTTTATTTTTATTTGTAAAAGATCAAGTTTTTAAAAAGAAATAAATTCCCATCTTCAAAAGAGAAAAATTAGTAAATTAATAAAGTTAGTTCTGTGAGGATACTAAAATACAATCTGGTCTCTGTAACACCCCTACTAAAAGGAGACCAACTTGTGCATTTAAGAATCTTTGCTCTGGGTGAAAGGTGACTCAGAACTTAAGAGCACTTGCTGCTCGTCCAGAGGACCGGAGTTCAATTCCCAAAACCTGCGCCAGCCACCCACACGCCGAACACCTCAGTGAAGAATGTATTATTTTAGCTAAGTCCTTAGGAACTCTAGGCTGCCCAAAATTATCGGGTATGTTTCAGTTTCAAATCTGAAGGGCTTAGACTAAGCAGTACTTTTTAGTCTCTTAATTGGCTTTCCATAAAAAGCAAACATACACAAAGCACCCACAGTATTCAGGTTCTGATCAGCTACTGAAACAAAGCTCTCATTACAGAGTGGATAAAGCTCGACCCTTTAGAAGAAACAGAGAACAAAACTGTATGATCGCTCCAAAAACCATTTTAAAAATGATTTTATTTACATTGGTATACTGCCTCCACGTCTGTGTGAGGGTGTCGATCCCCTGGACCTGGAATTACAGACAGTTGTGAGCTGCCATGTGGGTGTTGGTTGGCATTTGAACCTGGGTCCTTTGGAGGAGCAGCCAGTGCTCTTGACCCCTGAGCCATCTCTCCAGCCTTGCAAAAGATTTATTTTGGTTGTTTTTAATTCTGTGTATGAGGGAGGAATATACACGAGTGCAGACGCCTTCAGAGGCCAAAGCATTGGATCCCTAGAACTGGAGTCACCAGCAGGTGGGAGCCATCCAAAAAGGGTGCTAGAACTGAACCTGGGTCCTCTGCAAAGCAGTACTTATTTATTTGGTTGGTTGCTTGGTTGGTTGGTTGGTTGGTTTTTTTCAGACAAGGCTTCTCTGTGTAGCCTTGGCTGTCCTGGAACTCTATAGACCAAGCTAGCCTCCAACTCAAAGATCCACCCATCTCTGCCTTCTGAGTTTTGGGATTAAAGGCGTGCACTGCCAATGCCATTACCACCACCACCCCACCACCACCACTGGGCCTGCAGTGCAGTGCCTCACTCTTCACTGAGGCACTTCTCTAGCCCAAAGAAGAGGACTTTTTTTTTTTTTTTGCTTTGTTTTGTGTTTAACAAATTTTGAGTGTTGGTGCTACAGCAAAGCCCCTGCTGCCCTGCTGAGAACAACCTGTCCAAGGCAGAACTGAAGCTTTTAACCCAGGTTTGTGGCACAGCTGGGAGGTGGCTACAGTACTACCTTCCACCAGAGCACTGAGAACATCCATCCTCCAAGCCAGCCAGTGGACTGATCACTCCCAGACACACATATCCATAAATACCATCATTCTGTCACTGCCTGAATGTGAAAATAGTTGGGAAACCTCCGCTTAACACAGTAGCCCTGGGCTAAAAGGATGGCTCAGTGAGAAAGAGCCACCATGACCCGCTATTTTTTTTTTTTTTTGGTGGGGGGTGGGGGCACACTCCTTTAATCCCAGCAGAGGTGGAGGCAGGCAGATCTCTACGAGTTCAAGGCTAGCCTGGTCTACAGATCTAGTTCTAGGACACCCAGAGGCACATACAGAGAAACCGTGTCTCAAAAAACTAAAAAACAAATAAACGACCTACCTCTAGAACTAAGTTCTTTTCTTTTCTTTTTTTAAGATGTATTTATCTATTATGTATAAAATATTCTGCTTGCCAGAAGAGGGCAACAGACCTCATTATAGATGGCTGTGAGCCATCATGTGGTTGCTAGGGATTGAGCTCAGGACTGGAAGAACAACCAGTGCTCTTAGCCTCTGAGCCATCTCTCTAGCCCTAGAACTAGGTTTTAAAAACTCATAAAATTATGAAGTAAAAAGTAATAAAAATTTACAATGGAATTATGAAGTGATTATTTCTTTGCAATTAAAAATCAGACTGTAGTGTTATATTTTGAGGTAAAATTAGATTTCTAAGCTGGATGGCCAGGATTTAATGTAAGATTATGGAGAGATTGGTAAATGGCTCCTTTAAATATGTTTTGCCACAGGATAGCAAGAGAAATAGAGTATTTCCTCCATAATTACTTTGCACAAATGTTTTGCATTTGGTCTGAGATGGTTTAGAACAACTTACCATTCTGAAAGGCAGAGTCACAACCAATGACAACGGTTCTTCTTGAGCTCCATACATACATACTACATATAATATATATTAATTAGGTGTTTTTATTGAAGAGAAATATCAGAATGGAAGTAACAAGTCTCACACTGAAGAAACTGAACACATTTGCTTTCCTCCTTGAGTTCCTTATCTGTTTATTATAACCCACTCCCTGGCAGGTAACAAATTTGAATCCTTATCCTTTCCTTTTATATCTGAGTAGTTTCATTTGAATAATGCATCTAAGTACAGCATGTAGATCAGAGTCATATGGTAAATGTCAGCTCCTTTCCAGGCATCATCTAAACATGTTCCAAAAATGTCATAAGATTTTGAAAAAAGTACTCTGTAAAATTAAAACACAAAAATCTACAGTGTTCAGAGGCTGGGGACACGGCTGTCAGAGCAGTGCTTGCTGCAAGAGGCCTGGGGTTGGGTCTTCAGCACCATAGAGGAACCAAGTACAGTGGCCTGGTGGTGAGTACCTGTCCCAGCTGGGTACAGAAGGGGCTGGTGGAGACAGGCGAACCCCCAAAGCTTGATGGCAAGCCAGCTTAGCCAGACTGGTGAGTTCCTGGTTCAGTGAGAGGCTCTGTCTCAAAAATCAAAAACTAAGGTGGAGGCTAGCAGGATGGTTCAGTGGGTGAAAGCACTTGTTTCCAGAGTTTGGTCGCCACCAAATGGAAGGAAATAACCTGTCCTCTGACTTTCACATGCTGTGGTGCACGTATGCTAAATAATAAATCAGTGTAAATTTTAAAATATCGAAAGTGAAAAGCAACCAAGGAAGACACTGAAGGGCTATTTCTGGTGCTATTTCTGGCGCATGCATACACACACAGATACACACACCGTCTGTGCGGCACTGGGGTCAAGGGTATGATTTTCAAATGCTCCTCAGGCTGGATCTGTGGGGACCCTGCTGTGATATCGTTTCTTACTTGCTAGATCTGAAATGAATGACACTCTGGAGGCAGCTTGCGGGTGTCACCCAGCTGCCCCATAAATAATGGCCCTGCTCACACTGCCTTGAACCACCATCCCCGGGGAGATGCTGCTTTCCCCTCTTAAAGCATGCCGAAACTAATCAGAAAAGCTGGAGCTTAGTTCTCTCCACACTCAAGAGGCTTAAGAATTTAGTAAATTAATAAAATAAAAAAGCAGATTTCATTCCCATCTCCTCCACCCCCAAGCTTGGGATAAAACTCAGGGACTCACACATGCTAGCATCTTGATGATGAGTCTCTCTGTGTCTGTGAATATTTAAGTGTTCATAAGACAGAGTGCTCCAGATGGAAACAGACAAGAGAATTTTCTTGTCACAATAATAGTTTCAGACTGTTCCAGCGTGGCTGGCTTCTTCCATGTCTTTTTGGCCTCCTCCACCATCTGGAGTGGAGAAGTTGGATTTGTTTGTTTGTTTGTTCGTTTGTTTGTTTTTTGCATGGCTGGGGTCTGAATCCAAGTCCTTGTGCATGCTAGGCCCATACTGCTAGGGCCAGAGAGATTCCTTTTTGTCTCTAGACTCCATCTTAGACACAAATGACCTCAGCTCGCAGATAACCCCTAGCTCCAGGAAAAAGCCCGAGAAAGGTCCTGGGTAAACATGAGCCAATCAGCTTCAAGTTTGACCACATATGGCTGAAAGGCCAGGAGAATATGGCTTCAGATAACCAGCCACCTGACCCCAAACAATCAACTTGGGCCTCATGTAACTGCTCCTAGCCCCGTCCCCCATCAGAAGAGAGCTTAGCTCATGGGGTTGCCATTTTCTTGAATGGTGGACCCCTGCATGCTGGAACACAGTTGCTTAATAACATCTGTTCTTGTTTTGCGTACCCTCAGAGTCTGAGTCTTGTAAGTCATTTTCGGACCCTACAGTACTATCAGCAAGCTGTATCTCTAGCCCTTGTTTTTGTTGTTTTGTGTTTTGACAGGGTCGCACTGTGTGACCCAGGCCGGTATGGAACATGGCGGGGGCAGGCATGAGGGGCAGAGGCCAACATCAGGAGTCCCCATTGCCCTTTAACCTTCAGTGAGCTCAACAGTTTATTTAGACTGGCTTGCTCTCAAGCCTGAGCATACAGATTCATAGGCCTGGATGCTGGGGATTCAAACTCAGGTCCTCAGGCTTGCGAGGCAAGCACTCCACCTCCCAAGCCACCTCTCCAGGCCCTCTCTTAGTTCTGTAAATGTAAAGCTGCAGTGATTGGATAGCAGCCACGATGACCCACTTGTATGGTGGAACTTGTTGTCATTCCGAAATTATCACCCTGTAACATATCTGACACTGTACGTGTAGCAGTTTGATATGAATGACTCATCTTAGTCACTATTTTGTGGCTGTGAAGACACACCATGACCATGTCAAGTTTTACTTTTATAAAAGAAAGCATGTAATTTGTTAGTCCAGGGCTGGAGAGATGGCTCAGAAGGAAGAACGCTAGCTGTTCATCCAAAAGTTCTGAGTTCAATTCCCAGCAACCACACGGTGGCTCATAACCATCTCTGGTGAGATCTGGTGCCCTCTTCTGGCCTGCTGGCACACATGCAGGCAAAACGCTGCATAAATTAAAAAACTGTAAATT